CCGTGCGGACTCGCTCCCCCTCTTCCATCCCACTTGGGCATCGGTGTTGGGGACGGGGGTGAATTTCCTTCACTGAGTTTTTCAAAAGCCTCTACTTTTATTTTTACATAAACAGTAGCTCCCTTTCCTATTCGTATCTCATGAACTTTTTTTTTTCCCTGTTCCTTTAATTTTAACAAAAGAAACTGGCGTGACCCCTTGGGGGGACAAACCGCGCTGGCGGCTCGGGGTGGAGGGGGCTCTGTGGGGCCCGGGTGCCGGCCTGGCGGGCGCTGGGCGCTGAGGCGGGCGGGCTCCCTGCGGCGTCGCCTTTACGGGGCGGGATCCTCGGTCCCTGCGAGATGCAGGCGGCATTCGCTCGAAAAAGACGGGCGTGGCCAAGTTTCAGAAAGGCGTGTCTGCGTTTTGTCGGGGCCTGCGGATGCCAAAGGCGGGGGAGAGCCCACCGTGTCCTATGTCCAGATGCGGGAGACCTTCCAGGAGCTTCTGCAGGTGTCAGGAAACGCAAGAGGAGTCACGGGCATGCCCGCACCGGCGCCCGCGCTCTGGCGCGGGGCACGGCGCAGTGGCAGGTCCGCGCGCCGGGGGCTGCGGGGCGTGCACGTTGGGGCCGAGCCTTTGCCGGGCGTCTTCGCCCGTAAGGTCTGGACCGTGGAGCTGAGGCGGGGCCCTCGCCCACCTGCAGGCGTGACTCCCACGGCTCTTCAGGGGCGTGCGCTGAGTTTCGCCGTAGCTTTGGTAGGGAGGCCCACGACCTGCGTCCACCGGACGCTGTTGGGACCGTCGGAGGCAGCCTCCCCGTTCAAACGGGTCTGGTCACGACCTCAGTCGGGCGCTGCCGACCCCGGAGCGTTTCCTCGTCAGACATTAGAGACGCGTGTGGCGTCCCGCGGGTGGGGGCGGGGGGGGGGGGCGTGTGGCCTCGCCAACACCTGCGTTCCTTTCGCGGTTCGTTTAACTGTCCCCACGGGAGGTGTTCTGCGTTTCCCTGGAGCAGGCGGCACGCGCCCTGGTGGCCGTGGACGGGACCGTGGCCCCCAAGTGTGACAGTCACGGCCGTTCCCCGTGACGCCACTGTGTCGGCTCCCGCTCGGCCGGCGGTGCTGTGGTCAGCAGGTGCTCTGCGGCAGGGCTCTGAATCTTGACTGGAGGGCCAGTCAAGATTCCGTGTACGTTGCCGCTTTTATGTTCCACTTGAATCCTGTTCGGTGGAAAACGGCCTGTGTCCCCCTGCGTGCTCTACCTGCCGCCCGCTCTCTGTTTCTGCCGAGCCCAGCGGCACCCGTGCGGATGGGGCTTGATGGACGGCCTTGGCCAGCGTCTCCTGTGGAGGGTTCTCCACGGAATTCTCTGCTCGGGTGTCCTCGGGGTTGACACTGTGGCCTCCATACCCCTGTGCAGACTTTTTAAGCTTTTATTTATTTACGTTTAGAGAGAGTGGAAGGGAGAGAGAAAGAGGGGGAGGGACACATCCATGCGTGGAAGCCTCTTGCGCGCCCCCTGCTGGGGACCTGGCCCTCAACCCAGGCCTGTGCCCTGAGTGGGGATCGAACCGGCGACCCTTCGGTTCGCAGGCCGGCGCTCCGTCCACTGGGCCGCACCCGCCGGGGCTCCCCCGTGCAGGTCTTACGCCGAGTCCTCTGGCTCATTCTGCACCAAGGAGCTCGCTCCCTGCCATCCCGGAGCGTGGCCCTCGCGGACGCCTGGCCGCCCTGCTGCGGGGGGGCCGCCCGCCCCAGGCCCGTGTCTCCAGCTCTGACCAAATCCGGTTCATCCATCTTCCCTGCAGTGGTCCAGGCGCACGTGGACGTGTGATTTGGTCATCGGTTGCTTGTCGTTTTCAGCATTTAGACCCTTTGCCTGTTTTATTATTTTTAAACCTAAGGACTTCATTTTTTTAATGATTGCAAGGGATTTTGAGTTTTAAATTTCATCTCTTGCTAGTATTTGGAAATGGTGTCTTACGGCCTATGTAGCTCATTTGTCATCGGGGTTTTGAGGGGGTTCTGGTACAGCCCTTCTGACGTCCTGAAGGCCCTTCTAGTCCTTCCTTTTCCGACTGGGAGCCTTTTCTCCTTGCGCTGCTGCAGCCGTTAGAAGCGCTCGTGTGACGCTGAGGGTGAGAGCACACGCCGGCCGTGTCCCCGGCGTTGCCGGACGGCGCAGCCTCTCGCCCCGACGGCGGCCGCGGTTTGCGCAGACGGTGCCGGCCGCAGTGCAGGTGGCGTGGGAGTCCCTTGCCGTTTTTGGAATCTGGCTCTGCAGGCTCCAGGGTGACTTCGCAGTTTGTGAGAGTTGCCGAGGGGAACAAGACTCCGGAATTCCTTTGTATTTATTTTGACTCCCACACACAGCGCGTCCTCATGCAAGCCCAGCCCTGACCCGGACGTGGGCTACGCGCGCAGCCCTGGAGGAAACGTGTCCGTGATCGGAGGTTTGTTCGGCTTCCACCTCCTCTAGTCTAGTCCCCAGGGTCTCCCCAGTGGGGGGGGGGGGCGGTGTGTTCTTTTTCTTTGTTACTCCATCTGCGTGGGGAGAACGTGCCCCCGCCCCACCCGCTGTCCCCCGGCAGCCCTGCCCCTCTGAAGCACCTCGAGGATGCGTGTTCCCCCTCGAGCACCTGGCGCCCGGAGAGTGGGGGTCCCCGTCCCTCTCCAGTGTGTCTGGGACCCCGGGCTCCCCGTGAGCACGTGCAGCAAGTGACTGCCCCTCCACCTCACCCGCTGTGTAGGCGTTGACCAGACTCCTCCCGTCACAGGCCTGCCATGTGTTCCAGAAAGTTCTGAGGTCCTTCATCGGGGGCGGACTTCGCACGACCAAATGGGGAACCACGGAGCCCTGGGTGCACAGGAGCCTCGCCCAGCGAGCGCGTTAGAAACGCGGCTGCGGCTCCGGCTGTGGCTCCAGCTCCAGCTCGCTGGCCCCTGGTTCCTGCATCCGTGACGAGGACCCCCGCTGACGGTGCAGCGGGTGGCCTGGGTGGCGGCAGCGAGCATTCGGGGGAGTCTGCCTCACAGAGAGAAGCCGTCCCTCGCCCGGCGCCCGGCGGGGGGCACGCGGGGCTGCTGCAGGGTGCGCCCCCTGAGCGGGCCTCGCCCGCGGGCGACTGACTTCCCGCCCTCGCGGGCCGTGGGGGCGGCCCAGCGCGCGGGGTCCTCGTTTGGGGGAGGAGGCGGGATTCCGTGTTTAGACCGCTTGCCCTCCTGCCGGCCCTCGCTCCGCTCAGCGATGGCCCCTCCAGGGCGCGGAGTGAGGGAACAGCGGAGGCGGGGCGGGGCGGGGCAGCCGTGGGGGCGCCTGGTCGTTGGGGAGCGGCCGTCCGGCCGGCAGCCCCGGCTCTATGCGCTCTGGCTGCTCACACTCCGGGAGCCTTGATGTTTTGATAATACTGCCTTGTAGGCGCACGTTTAAGGTGGCACAATGCTATGTTATATCATTTTTGTAGGGTCCCCTCTGGTTAAAATAAGTCCATAAACGCAATTATTCTTCTTTTATGGGCACCTGTGTGCGGGCTTTACGGAACTGCTTCGCTCGCGCTGTGGCCAGCGAGGGGACACTGCTCGGCAGCGGTGAAATGAAGCGACGCTCCCCTTCCCCTCAGGTGCTGATTGAAGGTGCTCTGAACACCCCCCTGCCTACCGTTTGTAGGCCTATCAACTTGAAGGTATTATTTTGCCTTTTATATTTTTCAAGGCCAAGTTGAAATTTTCTGTGTGACTCTGAGACGCGGGCACTGCCGCCTCCGTCCGGCGGCCATACCGGCAGGTCCAGTCAACCCCTGGAGCCACAAAACGGGCGTCTTTCCCCGCGAACTGACAGCGTGGTTGTCTTGAACTGGTTAAAAACGCAGATCTAGCCCGGCTGGTGGGCTCAGTGGACTGAGCGCCGGCCTGTGAACCAGGGCTCCCGGGTTCGAGTCCCCGTCAGGGCACAGGCCTGGGTTGAGGGCCAGGTCCCCAGCAGGGGGCACGTGAGAGGCAACCACACGCTGATGTTTCTCTCCCTCCCTTCCCGTCTCCAAAAATAAATAAATACAATCTTAAAATAAAAAACCACACATATCTCATTCTAAGATCTTAAGTCGCTTTTTTAAAAATCAGACTTTAGAGAAACAGTAGGTTTTTTCTTCTTTTATCCCCATCAGCTTAAGCTTTGTTCAAAATAAAACCAGTAGACTTTTCTCCGCGCCTTCCTTTAAGCTGGAGAGTGTAAGTCGGATTTGCTCTCCTGGATTGGTTTTGCAGGAAATTAAATGTTTAAAACATAAGCTCTGGCGATCGACACAGTGTTTGCCCCGACGGCTTCGTGAACCACGTGAAGTTCTTCAGACGACCCCGGAGGCCGTGCCGCCTTTCAGTTTGGAGAAGGCTGTGCGGACGCCGTTGCCGTTGTCTTCTGAACCCTCCCGGCCCGGTTACTGCCAGCGGCTGCCTTGCGCGGGTCCCTCCAAGACGCGGGACCGGCGGGACCGGCGACCGGGTGCGGGGTGTCCCCAGCTCTGTTTGTGCAGAGCCGCACTCCTTGCGGGAGGAGGGGCGCGTCCGCGGGCCGCGGCGGGCCCGGCTGCAGCGGAGGGGGGCACGCGGAGCTGCTTTCCCCGCCAGGCGCAGCCGAGCGTCCTCGAGGTCGAGTGGTCACGGCCACAGCCGCGGGCTGCAGTTCGTGTGGCCGTCCTGTTGAAGACGCTTCGCCCCCCCTTTGGCTCGTACTTCCCAGCGGTTTAACTCCCATCAGACGTTGCTCCGCGGGGAGCCCGTGCCCTTCCTGACACTGTTACAGGGATGCAGGGTCAGCGGCCGTGGACCCTCAGTGCGTCGCCGAGTCCCTAGGAGACTTAATGAAGAAGTCGAAATCCTGCCTCTCGCTCTCTGAGCAGCACCCTCCTGAGAGCCCGCGGGAGGGGTTTCACACGTCCCCCTGCAGGAGAGAGCGGCGTCTCTGTGCAGGCGTTGTCCTCTCTGTTCTTTCTGAAATCCTGTTCTGTTGTGTCTCCCGATCAGATCTGGAGAGTTTTAAAACCCGGATGAGGAGCGCGGTGTTGGTGCGTGAAGGCCAGGGCGTCGTCCTGCTCTGCGGGCCCCCCCCGCACTCCGGAGGTAAGACGGCCCGTTCCCGCCCTCCTCTTCGTCGGCCGCGTTTCCGGGCACGACGCGCGGCCCGTGCGCTGCTGCCGCGTCGGCCGGGGGCCCCGGGCTGCCGGCCCCTGGCGGAGGCCCCCGCAGGCGGACGGGCCCCGGTCGGTTTCCGTGGCCGAGAGGCGCCGCGCAAAGCTCCGTCCTCACTGCTGCCGCCAGTTCCGGGGTCTCGGGCCCCGGCGTGTGTGGCGGTCTTTCTGCATGTGCACGCATGTGCACGCATGTGCACGCTCGCTCTCCCCCCGTGTGTGTGTGTCTCACACAGTCACACAAACTAACAGACGCCTTGCACATCTTCGTTGTTGTAGACTGTATATGAAAGTGGTACATGCGTGTACTCACAGCATTTGTATGGGGCATTGGAACTGCAGGTTTCGATCCTGCATTGGCACGAACTGAAACACTGCGAGAAATTCTAGTGCCGTAACCGGCCCATGCGGAACCTGTGTTGAAACCTCTGCTCTTGGTGAGGGCAATGTTCAACTTCGTTTATTTGGAATAACAATCGGGAATGTCCCCCCAGTGTCAGCGGCGGGGGGGCGGGTGTGCGGGGTGCTCCTGGGAGGGGCCGCAGGAGGCCCCAGGTGCGGGGACCACGAGCCGGTGGCCCTTGAGCCCCTCCCCTCGGTCGGCTGACCCTTCGCGGCGCCGACAGCGACCAGACTCCCTGGCCCAGAGCGGCCGCTGTGTGGTCGATGCCAAGGAAGGAAAACCGGCTCGCGGTTGGTGGCAGCTGGGGGTTTTCCCCGCATCCCCATCCCTGCTGAGCCCCAGGCGTTGCTGTCACGGGCGGTGCCTCCCGCCTCTCGCTCTTTCTGTGACGTTTCCTCCTGCCTCCGACCTTCCACGGCCGCTGCCCAGCGGCCAGCACGGCCCCAGGGCCGCAGGGATGCACTGCTCGCGGCCGTCGGTTGGAAACGAGGAGCCGACGAGACAGGAGCAGGGGCTGGGACGAGGGTGCCCTGTGGCTTCGTTATCGGTCTAGTTCCCGAGAGCGTGCGGAGCCGGGACCCATCAGCACCCGTAGAAATGCACGCGCAGGAGAAAAATTGTCCTTTGTAAACAAGGGCAGGCAGCCAGCGCTCGGGCCCCCCGATAAACGCCCGTTCGGCGCGAAGGAGTCGGTGATGCGTCAGACGGTGAGTATCAGGGAGGCGGGCTCACCGAGCCGCCCCGTGTGCGTGGTAGAAGGGGTCGTCTTGGTCGGCCGGTGGCCGGCAGAACCCGTCCCTCCCGGTGTCCACAAGCAGACCCCGCGGGCCTCCCTCCTGCGGGCTCGCCGTGCGCGTCCGGGAAACGCAGCCCTGCGCCATGGCACCGCCTCGGGGTGCCGGTCCCCCAGACTCGCACGTCACCCAGCGGACCACAGGCCCCCAGGCCCGCGGGTTACAGCCACCGAGAAAGCAGACCTTTGGGCTTTTTCAAGAAAGCTAGAAACTGCCTGTTGCCAAAATTTCCGGAAGCGGTGTAACAGCTGGGCCAGACGGCCCGCGGCGGGGGTCCCGCAGGCATCCTCCCTCAGGGCCCGTTGGCGCGAGCCGTGGAAGCCTCGTGTGCGCGGCAGTCGGAGGGCGCAAGCGAGAGACCGTTCAAGGTGGCGGTGCAGCCTCTAGACACGCACGGTGATTAGACTCAGAAGGGCATAAAATAATTCCAAACTAGACTAATTAAACCACTAATTAAGGGCTCCAGAGGCGGCAGCGTCAGGGGGCAGCTCTCGGCCCCTCTGGAAGTAGTTTTCCAGATCCAATTTATATGCTTTTCTGAAGCAATTAGGCATTCCCCTCATCGAGCCTAGTTCACGTCTTTACACTGTTCAACAAATTTCTCATGACCCCAAAGTCGGGATGAATCTGCCAGTTACACAGAGCAAAGTCACGGGGCTCTGCTGGGAGATCTCATAACAGGCGGGTGCAGACTCGGGCACCTTTCTTCAGGCCGAATTTGATTTTTGCTGGAAGTTGGTTTGGACGGCCAGCGATGTTCCCCGGACCCGGCTCCAGGAAGGCGGTCGTGTCTCGGGCGGGGGGCGGGGGGCGGGCGCTGACTCCCCCGTGTCCACCGGGGTCCTGGGTCCAGAAATCCAAGGACTTTTTTCCTGGTTTTCTCAGACAATCTTAAGCTTTTCATGACATAACTTATTTGGAAGGGTTGTGCATTTTGCAGCCCAGTCTTGTTTTTTTCTTTGAATCCTCACCTGAGAATGTTTATTGATTTTTTAGGGAAGGGGGGAGGGGAGAGAGAGAGAGACGTGGATGTGAGAGAGAAACATCGATCGGCCCCGTCCGGCGCGTGCCCCGGCTGGGGTCGAGCCCGCGGCCTTCTGGAGCTCGGGGCGACGCTCCGACGGCGGGGCTGCCGCCCAGAGCGGTCTCGTTCCCTTTCTGGGGTCCCGCCGGACGTCGGCCAACCTTCCCGCGCCCGTCCCAGGCGGGGCCGTCCTGCCGTGCCTGCCCCCGGGGCCCCGCCGTGGGGCGAGCCGAAGGGAGACTCCTGGGTCCCCACGTGGCTTTACGCTTCCGTCAGCGTGTGCCGTCCCCAGAGACCCCGTGTGGCACAGGGTGGCGTTCGTCGCTGCGGGCCCTTGTGCAGCCAAAACAGGCACCGTGCACAATGCGAGACGCTGAGCGGGAAACAGTGTTCAGCCTGTAGGGAAAGCGCAAGAGCGTCACTCGGTGACTTCCCGGGGCTCTGACCAGGTCGATGTGGGTCTCACGTTTTCCCCGAGAGGAGGGCTCCCGGCGACGTCGCCCACACCCACTCCCCACCCGCCGCCCGAGGGAGGGGCGCACCCGCGCGACGCCCCCGCCGCTCCCCCGGGAAGTTCTCGGTGTCCCCTGCCTGGCGCTGGGGGCGGGGGGTGGGGAAGTCCTCGGGGAAGTCCTCGGGGCGCCGGGTCCGCCTTTCCCTCCGTTGGACGGTGTTGCTCAGGGCAGCGTCCTTCGCAGACGGACTCTGTGCTGACAGAGGATGAAGGCGGCGGCCGCCGAGGGGCAACGCGTCTCGTTTCACTGGCGAGCGATGGGGCCGTGGCCAGAACGTGGCTCCTCCGTCGTGGCCGTGGGAGCCCTGACGGGGGGCGGTGTCCTCGTGGCGTCGTCAGGAGACGTCGGGGAGGAAGCGCAGGGCTTGGGGAAGCTCATAGGCTCCGAGCCTCTGGCGATGCCCGACGTCGGGCGCGGTCCCTTCGCGTCCGTCGCCGTGGCTGCAGCCGGCCGGGGCGTCCTCGTGGGGAACCGGCCCGTCGGTCACCCGTAGTCGCCGACCGCCAGGCCAGGGGCCCCCTCCGCGGGCTCTCGGCGACCCGGCACATTGCAGCCCGAACACGCCACGCTGCACACCTGGTCCGCAGGCCCTCATGCCAGGGAACGGCACCCGAGGTGGGACGTGTGTTGCCCACGCGGCTTTTGCGTTCTTGTCGCCTTGAAGTGCCGCCCGCGTCCCCCGGGACGGCTCGGCGTTTCTTCCTGCGTTACACATTTTGACAGCTCAGAGCGAGAAGCTGCGAACCTGACATCTGGTATAAACACAAGGTGCTAATTCTTGGCACCAAAACGTTACATTGCCAACCACGTGTAGACACGCGTGTGATGCCTTGTGTTTTTTCCGGGGCTGTAACACTGAGGCTGTGAGCTCTCGTGGCCCAGGGCTCGTAAACCTGAGGGTGTGCCCAGGTTTCCTTTGCTGTGGTTCTGGGTCTTGGTCCCGTTGCCGCGGCAGAGTGCGGTTCGGCGGCCTTGCACGCGCAGCGAGAGGTGCGTCCCCTCAGCCACAGGTGAGGTGCGCGGGGGTGTGGCATCCTCAGGCCCGGTCACACCCAGAGGGCAGGAGGAAGCGCCGCCTCGCCATCACCGGGTCCTTGTGATCCGAGTCAGAATGCCGTGTAGGCGGGGGAAGACCCCGACGCGGCAGCTGGACCGGCTGCCACTTTGCAGACGCGCCAGCAGGCCGAGCGCGGGCTCCTGGGCAGAGGAAGCAGGCGCCACACGGCCCGCGGGATGCGGCCGGAAGTGTTCTGGGCGGAAAGTTAGGGTCCAGGCTGTGAGGGTTCCGTCCCAGGACACAGCAGTCATCCCCAGGCACGGGGAGGGGTTTCCACGCCCCCCATGGGCACCCAAATCCATGGACACGCAGGTCCTTACAGGAGGTGGTGTGCCAGCTGCGTGTGAGCGCACACTCCCTCCCGCCTGCCCGGCCTCTGAGGCGGTTGCTGTGGTCGGCGCGTCACCTCGGGGCCTGGAAACGCTTGGCAGCGTTTCCATGCGGGTGAGTGGTTCTCACCCTTTGTGCCGTTTCGGCTCACGAGAGGCTTTGTGGGCACCTGTTCCTGGATAGCAGGGGAAGCCTGTGTATTTCTATGAACTTAGTCCACTTCCAGGTCTTACGCACGTGATCGGGGACAGATTCCTTGAACCTGCGTGACGGGAGTTCGGGCAGCTTGCGGCAGTGCTCCGAGGGCTGCGAGAAGACAGAGTGTGCGGCGCGCGCGGCCTCCCTGTGTGTACAGAGACTCGGACCATGTGCACCTTGGGAGGCACCTCCTCGGCCCCGCGCAGCCTCGTGGCAGAAGGACGCGAGAACCTTTGCCCGTGAAAATGGGAAAACAATGGAGCGGACCGTGTGGAGATGGTCACGCCCTGTCTCTGTCCTGTGGGGTCCCGGTCAGGCCCTGGGGACACCCTGCCAGCCGTCTCCTGGACCCCAGGGGAGCGTCACGCAGAGGCATGGGGGACGCGTTGGCGAACAGTCCTCTGGAATCAGGGGAGTGCGGACCCCCGGTGCTGGGAACTTGTCCCGAAGACAGAAATTCTGGCAGAGCTGCACCCAGGATCCCACGAGGACCTGCAGGGCAAGGGCGTCCCAGAGACCCCACCCGCCCCCGTCCCGAGTCGCTTGCAGCGGCTCAGCCCAAGCTCTGCGCAGCGCTGGGCAGGGGCTGCGTGTGCGAGAGCCTCCCTGGC